TCTCGTTTTTTCCACCTAGTCTGTGGAAAGGAAGGAGCTTAGCGGGCTGTGTTGTAGCACTTGCTGGCTGGATTTTTCTTTTGCCTAATCGCTAACCAGAACACCTGGTTAGGGGGACCCAACTCAATCCCTTTGGTCCCCAGGACCAGACAGAGAGTCAATTCTGGAAAATTCAGTACTTGAATGTACCTGCCTTATTGTGAACCAACTTACTGGAAAAGTGTTAGAAATGCTGGCTCCAGATCTCTACTTCATTCACAGGTTATTTTGGAAGTTCTGTAAGTTACACTTCCTGTTCTGGTTTGGTTTTTTTGGTTTGTTTTTGTTTCTGTTTTTTTTCCTCTTTGGCTGATTCCTGCTGAGTGGGACCAGTTCCTCGTCAGGCTCAGGGCAGGTGCCATTCTCAGGCATGGCCTCCTTTCCATCCAGCATAGCATCTTTGTCTCTGTTCTGTCTCCTCCAAATCCAAGATGATTTTAATTAGTACAGACATGTACAGTCTACAATTAAAGAGTGATTTGTACTAATATGATTTTGATTCTTCCTCCTCTTTGCTGTCCTTTCAAGACACTTGCTGGAAAAAGCTTTAATGCACTTAGTTTTCCTTTAGGTTTTCTATAACTCAGATGTAAAGGACTTTCTCTGTACAGTATATTATCCAATGCATGTTTGTTCTCTATCCTGATATATTGAACACCACACAGTTGTGAACTCGTGCAGTGGGGATGTCCCACACCCAACAGAGGCATCTAGGCCCCTGTGTATAAGGAAAGACGTTTTCCTTTGCTGTACTTGCTTGAGCAGTTTTATTGTCTGTACATGTGAGCTGTGTGAGATAGATGTGAAAAGTTAAATGAATGCAGTTTCCTGCCCATGTATACAGATCGCCATCTGTACAATGAACTGTATGTATGAAAGCAAATGTACTTATTTATAAATGGGTAACACTTGGAAAAACATGGCGTTGTGGTGCACTCTCCTTTCATTACAGTACCTCTCAGGGGAGCTGACTTGCGCTCAGCTACACTAAGGCCTGCAGTGTGAGGAAGCCTCCCCCAAGAACAACTGGCAGAGGCCAAATTCCTAATGATTTGGCTGGTCTCTTAAGGGATATTTAGAGTCACCCCTTCAGGCTCTGGTTCATCAGAGAAGTTACTGAGCACCTCTCTCGGGAGTTGGACACTGCGGTGGGCACGCAAGAACCATGCACAAGACAGTCCTGAGGGCCCATCAGCCAAGGCTCACTGCATTCATTGAGAAAGGGAGGCTTTTTCTTCCGTGGAAGAGTCTTTCTCCAGCCATGCCAAGGGAGCACTGAGTTCCTCTCCTTTGATTTTAACAGCTGAGGCTACACCCCAATCCAGCTACCGTACCAAAATCCAAGGCTGCCAGTTAGGACTGTTAGGTTTAGAGACTGCAGGCCCGAGGCAGGGGGACAGCACCAGCTATAGTTCCCAAGGCTAACTTGGTTAAAGTTGGAAGCCTACTGCTTCCAGTGACTTTATTTTTTCTTCAGAAATCCGGCCGGAATTTCCAATCCTCGCCATATAGAGAGCTAGGCAGCTGCCCTGTGAACGGAGAGGTTTGCAGATTTTCTGAAATTGGCTGGAGACTCCATACCCTTCGTTAAGGACAGAGTCCCGTGGTCTTTCCTGCCTGGCTTCGACCTCTCTGTCTACTTCAGGCACAAGCAAGGAAGGAAACCACCTCCTCTAGACGCCAGACTTTGTTGAACAAACGCCCCTGCTGTGTAACTACATCCATTTCCCCCAAAGCACCAAAGCTGGGGAAGCAGGAAAACTCCAGGCATGCAGTCATCCCAGCCTGGACACCACAACTGCCTTTAAAGAGGAGAGGACTCTGGAAGGAACTACCTGCTCGTCTGAAAAGCATTCCTGGGCTGTTCCAGTTATTTCATTAAAAGTTAAAAATGGATAAGTGGTTGAAAGAAAAACAGGGTTTATTTTTTGGTTTGGTTTGGTTTTTTATAAACTTATTTTATTTTTGGCTGCATTGGGTCTTCGTTGCTGTGTGCGGGCTTTCTCTAGTTGTGGCGAGCGAGGGCTACTCTTCGTTGCAGTGCTCAGGCTTCTCATCGCAGTGGCTTCTCTTGTTGCGGAGCACGGGCTCTAGGTGTGCAGGCTTCAGTAGTTGTGGCACGCGGGTTCTAGAACACAGGCTCAGTAGTTGTGGCTTGTGGGCTTAGTTGCTCCGCAGCATGTGGGATCTTCCCAGACCAGGGCTCGAACCCGTGTCCCCTGCATTGGCAGGCGGATTCTTAACCACTGTGCCACCAGGGAAGCCCAGGGAAACAGTTATTTAAGAATTCCTGAGGCACTGAATGATTCCTAAAAAGCTAATTTTTCTTTAAAATAAATTTATTTATTTATTTATTTTTGGCCGCGTTGGGTCTTCGTTGCTGTACGCGGCCTTTCTCTAGTTGTGGTGAGCAGAGGCTACTCTTCGTTGCGGTGCGCAGGCTTCTCATTGTGGTGCCTTGTTGCGGAGCACGGGCTCTAGGCGTGCGGGCTTCAGTAGTTGTGGCTCACGGGCTCTAGAGCACAGGCTCAGTAGTTGTGGCCACGGGCTTAGTTGCTCCTCAACATGTGGGATCTTCCCGGACCAGGGCTCGAACCCGTGTCCCCTGCATTGGTAGGCAAATTCTTAACCACTGCACCACCAGGGAAGTCTCAGAAAGCTAATTTTTAAAAGCTGTTTGCCCTGAACCTAACTAAAGAGCCACTCAGAGCAGCAGGAAACAGCACATTCTGGTAGGTCTTCCCCTAGTCATTTTCATTCCCTGGTAGGTGCCCTTTAGTTGCTCTTTATATAGCTCAACACACCGCTGTGCACACATGCACGTGGGCAGTCAGACTCCCCTTCCACAGACCAAGGCTGAGGGGGGAACATAGCATCATCTTCTTTCCCCTTTAAAAATGAAAGCTGGAGGACCTTGAAGAAACTTGGAGACTGAGTCTTCCTATTGCCAGGAATAAGGATAGGACATTCATACTAAGGACATCATGTCTGGAAGGCCCTATGATAAAAAGGGCCTCATAGAAGAGACAGAGCTGAGTCCATTGTAAAGGGCCGTTCTCTTGAGATACCCCTTATGTCCCAGACACTGTGATGGGGACTTCCCACACGTTCTCTAACGTATTCCTCATCCAATTTCTGACAGACATTGCCGTCTCCAGAACACAAATGAGGAAGCAGATCCTGAGAGTTTAAGTTGCTCAAGGTCATGGAGTCAAAGGTGGGACTCTGAATCAGATCTGCCCAGAAAGCATTTTCCCTGTACCGTGCTGCCTGCCTGCTTCCTCAGAAGGGGGTATTCCAAGACAAGCAATCTGGATGACCCCGGAAGCAGCACAGGCAGTCGTCCAGAAGGAAGCTTAGAGAATGCTACTTTGTGCTCCTTTAGAGAAACAACTCTGTACCATGGGCAAGAGGAATAACTCTGGATCCCCTCGAGGTTCCAAACCCAGTGAGAAGGTAAGTTGGTTAAGGAGTAGCTCCCTGGAGGGAGAGGCAGCATCTGGGATTATGTGAATATTCAAACACAGAGAGACCCTTAAGATTCAGAGGCTAGCACAAAAGCCGCAAGGGAGATGTCACCCTCACAGGGTCAGGATGCCTCTGCCCTCACGCGGAGAGCCAACCCTGACCCTGACCGAGAGATCACCTTGTGACATGAACCAGGCCATGCTTTGCAGGCTTTTAAAGCAAATGAAGGTCCACATAGAAGCCTTGATCAGGAGACTCTATAGATGCATCAAGCAAAGACCTCTCAAGCTCTGGCTGAGACACGCCAGAAACCAGATTCAATACAGAAAATAAAGTAAGTGCTAGGAAGTAAGAATCCACGGTCCCTTTCAATAGTGAGCCCTCTTAGTAAGTTTTTCAGCTAAGTGACAGTGCTTTTCAGGAGCACACGGTAGATCCCGGTGGGATCTGAGTCGCACCCAGCTTTACTGTAAACACATCTGCCTGAGCCTCAGGAATTGACCTAAGTGGAATCTCAGCTTGTTCTCAAAACTTTGCTCCTCTTCTTAAGGAATGAAGAGACACGTTTTTAAAAGGAAAAAGGTTAATTGAATACTGGGGAAACTTCTTGCCAAGGCCCTTGTCAGGCTCTTACGGCTCCACCCTCCAGGCCAGCTCTGTCTGGGTTGAGAAGAGAATTTCTCTAACCGTGTGGAAGAGCCTCCCTCACTGGGTCCAGAGTCAGGACAGCCACTGGGCTGTTTCAGAGCCTGTGTCATCATAAATATCATTAATCACTTTACCTTCTGTGCCCAGCCTGGGGATATGCAAATTCTTTCAACCCTAGTAGACTAACTTCATGCATGTGCTAAAAGCACTGGCTCCTTTTATTGCCACAGTAAATGAAGATAACAGACAAGACACCTGCTGTAGACATTTATTGAATCATCTGTTGTACCAACACTACATTGTACTTCATAGAAGATTGGCCACAGGCAAAGTAAAATAAACCACCACGGAAGAGCTTGGGGGTGGGGGGGAGGCTTTTTGGCTCATGAATCATCCAGCATACGCTTTGGCAAACAGGCCAGTTTATAGACTTTTCTTGCAAATCCAAGGTTCCATTTCTCTCTGTGCCTTTCTGGCAACGGAGATATACAACTGTACTCTTGTAGTTTGTCTAAGGTGGAGTTTTCCCACGTGTAAACAATGACCATACCAGGTGATCAAAGAGTTGCCGGAGCTCGTGCCCTTGCAGAGCGTATGATATTAACAGGGTGCGGAGACACCCTGGTGCCGGGGCTGCAGCAGAGCCCGGAATGCCCACGGAAGGGAGCAGGGAGCCCTGCTGGTAAGGCGCCCAACACAGCCACCTGCTCTGAGAAGCAGCATCGCCTGAGGCAGGACCCACCACAAAAGCTGTTTTAGAAATCTGGGCATTAGGGGAGACAAGCTCCCTTTCTCGAAGGCAGCATTTAGGTGGGAGAAAGGCAGCCGTTAAAATAAAACAGTAGTCAGATTTGGAAATTTTATTAATGTCTTCATTTAAGTAAACTGTGTCTTGTCTCAAACAGTGTCATGCTCCTCAAAGCCCAGAAAACGAGGAAAACAAGGAGAGAGCATTCACCAAGTCCGAGAAGCACAAGATCGATGCTGTAATCACGTTATTTCTAGACAGAAGCCAAACGGTGACTCAGCTAACAGCATTACACACTCATGGGGTTGGGGGGATTAATCCGATTCTGACTTGGTCCCAACTTCCTGCAAAGATGGGCCCCAGGTAGGAGAGGATGAGGCTTTCCTCCTGATTAGGCAGCCCCTACCCTCCCTATGGAAAGGGAAAGGGGGCAATAGCGGCAGCTTTTTGTTTAAAGCAAAAAGGCTTGTGTCCTGGGCCTCTGTCAGAGCACCGCCTGAGTGAGCTCCGAGGGGGGGCAGCTGGCTCGCGAGGCCGGCCCCCGCGGGGAGGGGAGCCCCTGCAGGCGGCATACGGCCCGCAGCGCCCGCCGAGGCCCACCTCCTGCCTCTTCTTCGGGCTGCTGGGCCCCAAAGGCAAAGAAAGCCGCCCTCGGGCTAAGGGGTTAAAGAAAGAGAAGGCTGCAGAGCGCCGCTGGGCCCAAGCCACGCGTCCAGAGCTTCCCAAGGGCCAGTCCCTCCCCTCTGCTGGGGAACCCTGCCCTGACACCAGCATATTTTACACATAATATCACTTGCTCCGCTGCCAAAGGCTGGGCCCGCAAGACTCCTGGTTGGAGTTCCGTGTCACACAAAGCAAGTCTTGGCCTCGCCGGGCCCGGCGCTGAGCCCCGCCTTCTCCGCGGACACAGCCCAGGCCCCGCTGCCCCGAGCGGGGAGCCGCCTCCCCCTCTCCAACCCCTTTAAGGATCTGTGCTTCTGCGACCAGGCCCAACCGCCCAGAACCCTACCCAAAGCTGCTCCATCTGAGGGGGTGGCAGGGGCAAGGGGGGCGGGGGTCTGCGCAGGACTAACACGACGGCAGCGGCGGCGGCAGCAGCAGCGAGGAGGGGAAAGCGGAGGGGGCCTGAACCCCGGAAATCAGCGCTCAGGGAGGAGGGCTGCCCCACCCCCGCTCCCCACCCCCGGAGCCTCGGCGGGTGCGGGACAGACACCTGTCGGGGCCCCGAAACGGCGGAGACCGCCTCGGGGGACAGGACGGGATGGCACGGGGCGCGCGTCACTGGGAGCTGGGGCTGTCGCCCTCCGTCAGCGTCTTGAAGTCCATGGAGAGCGCTTGCTCTTCCGCCTGGAGGGGCCGCTTCCAGTCGGCGCGGCTCAGGATGTAGAGCACGACCGCGCCGAAGGCGGCCAGCAGCAGGCCCAGCACGTTGGCCAGGACGCCCTCGGGCTCGAACTTGCTGTACTTGGTCCTGCGGGATTGGGGCGGAGGGCGAGGCCACCCGAGGCGTCGCCGTTAGGCCGAGTGCCATTCGCCCCCGGCCCACAAGATGCAATGCGATCCCAAGCCCAACCCCGGCCCCCCACCCCCACCCTACTGGGAGAAAAGCCGCTGTTCGGCGGCCCCACACAGAGCCGCCGGGAGGGGGCGCTCACCCGAGCTCGAACAGCAGCGCCTCCTTCAGGCCCAGCAGGGCGGTGCCCACCGAGAGGAGGAAGATGGCGCCGCCAAGGAAGACGTGCTGCGGCCGGTAGCGGCTCCGCAGAGAAAACGACGCGCCGGGGAACAGGAAGAAGCTAAAGCCCATGAGCCACTGGGAGGAAAAGCGAGGTGCTGCCGGAGGCTGAGCTGCGCTGGAGACGGGAGCCCGAGGACGCCCCAGGTGGGCCGCCGCCCGCGAGGACCAAAGGCCCCACCACCCCCGCGCGGTGGCCTACGGCCGGAGACGCAGCGGGAGCGCTGAGCACGTGGGGAACGTGGGCCGGCGCTCTAGGCCGGTCTCAGCCCCACACTGTGCGCCCCGAGGCGGGGCCTGGGACCAAATCCACGTGCCTGTCGGCCAGAAGGGCGCCGCAAGGGCGCCGGTCCGAGGCAGCGCTCGGCGGGCTGGAGCGCCTTTCGCCTGTGCGCGCACCTGGCCCCGGCCCTGTTGGGCCCTGCTCCCCGCCCTCCCCAGCGCCGTGGAGCCGCAAGGACTCACCTGCACAAAGAAGAGGACGAAGACCAGAATGCCACACCAGCTGTGCAGGCTGTACAGGTCGGCGTAGCCTTTCTTCCTGTGGTAGTCGAACACCGCCACCAGGCCTAGCCGGAGGGGGTCGCGTGAGGACTGGGCTGATGGCGACGGAGGGGGTGCGGTGACCCAAGGGAAACCCGACCCGCCGGGACTTCTGGGCTCCAGTCCCAGCTCGGTGGCTGCCAGCACCAGTGTCCCTGCCCGGAAGGGGGAGGAGGGGTGGGGAGGGGGGACTGGACAGTAAAGCAGCTCCTTCCCCAAGTCAGCAGAGGTGGGGGAAGGAGGGCGGGCCCGTGCCTGGAACTCACCCACCAGGGCGATGACGAAGGCGAAGACGTGCAGCAGCCCGTGCAGAACTTTGGTGGTGCGTTTGGCCTCATTCCTGAAGACACGGTAAACCAGCAGGGCTGGTGGGCCGTGAGAAAGGGAATGTCAGGGCGCTAAGCCGAGCACGAGGCCTTCTTGCCAGGGCAGCGAGGAGACACCCCCGGCTGGAGAGGGGAGGGCTTGTCCAGGTACCCCAGCCACAGGAAGTGGGGGAGGAAACGAGGCTCCGTATGCCCCCGCACCGCCCACCCCCTTCTTAGCTGTCCTGTATCCCAGGCTTTGTTTTAGGCTCATCGTTCAGTCACATCAAGGTGTCACCAGGCTTCTGAGTTCACCTCTTAGCTATGATGGTACTCAGATTTTATAGCACTGAAGCCGGATCAGACCTTCACTACTCTTAGCCAGCAGGCTCCCTGGTTGGGAAACCCCAGGTTCTCAAAGAACTTTGCAACCCCAAGCTAACTCCCCCTCTTCGGGCTGAAGCAGTCAGGGCCAGGGGTCGGGCGGAATGCCTCTCGGGAGTGTGCTGCTGAGGAGGTGGCTGTCACCAGGACCACATCTAGGAAGAATGCATAGATCCAGCTTGCTTGTTACCAGAAAGAGAAGGCCAAGGCCCCCTGGCCTTGAGGCAGGGTGGGGGCCTGCCACGGCCTGGATCCTACCCCAGAGAGAGGAGCTCTAGCTCCTCCAAGTCCAGCGTCTACACACACACACGCACGTACCCTCACGCTCACACTCACGCTCACTTTCTCTCCCTCAATTTCAAGCCGCCTCTGCAGAAGATGGGCTTTGCTCACAGCCCAGCCCCTGGGCCTCCGTGTGCAGCTCACACACCTTCGGATGCTCCTTGTTGAAGCACGAGGTGAAAGCTCTGGGATAAGTCAGAAAGGAGTTGCCACCCACCGGCCGTGGGGCCCTGGATCTGGATTCCCAGTGTCCCCAAGGTCCAAGCCAGCTTCCTTCTCTGACTGGGCAGATTCAGGTGTGAAAGGGTTCCTGCACATCTCCTCTCTCAGGTGGCATCGCCCAGGGACTCACCATCTCCCTGCAAGAAGACCAGGCCTATGATCATGCAGAGAGGATGCACGTTGAACTGCAGGGCGCTCTCCCAGGCGATGCCTCCTCGGTACACACCGAGCCAGGTGCCAGTCGTGGCCACCACGGCCAGGCCCAGCAGCTGGGAGAAGGCCACATAGTAAAGCAGGGCCGCAGGGGCAGGTGCTGGGCGGGCAGGGCTGTCCATGCTGAGGCGGCTCTATGCCGAGGCGACTGCTGCAGGGAAGATGGTGGAGCTTAGAGGAGCGGCCCACAGCCTCCAAAAAGACATCGCAGGCCTCCCTTGCCCACCTCTGCCTCCTCCCTCGGCCCACAACCCCAGGCCTCCGTGAGAGTGCTCCCGGAGCACCCGGCAGGGGTGGGGGCGCCTTCCTGCAGAGACTGACCCACAGCTGGCTGCACTTCCACCTGCAATGAGGGAGCAAGTCAAAGTCCTCCAAGTTCTGGCCGGAGCAGGAGGGCCCAGTGCCAGTGCTTTACTTTCTGTTTCAGGAGGCCCTGGGTTTTCTCAGGTGGGGTTCACAGGTGAAACAGAGAAGTGAGCAAATTCCTTGAAGGTGCTGGAATTTTTCCTCCAGATGAATCATAAAAGACATCTAGGGTGAGAAATGAGGAACCTGACTCCCCCGTGCCTGCTTTTTCAGCTCCCAGCTGGAGATGAAAGAAGTCCTGCCCACAGAGAGCTGCAGGGCAGCTGCGGGTAGAAGGAATGTTCTCTGAGCCGCTTCAGTAGAAAGGACCAGGCGACAGGAGCCTCCGAGCTGCCCGTTTCCCTTCCTGCCTCGTCTTCCCCTCCACACCTGGGGCGTGGGCCTGCGCCCCTCCCTCAGGCCAGGCTTCCTGAACTGAGATCTACAAGGTGAGAACTCCTGGGGTCACTTAGCGCACAGGGATCCTGTGAGAAAAGGTGTGTCACTGCTCCCGTTGTGCAGACAGGGAACCAGGGGCTCAATGGGGTTTGGGGAAGCAAGGCTCAGGGCCAGTGGGAGGCATTTCCTGGCTCCTCTGCCCAGTCCCCAGTGTCTCCACAGCCTCGCCCGGGCTCAGGGTGGCCTGTGTGCCGGCTCTTCCCGCTGAACCAGGCGGGAGAGGCACTGGAAGATGGGAGGAGAGGAGGCGGTTGATGAACAAGTATGGTCGCCGTTTGCTGGGCCTCGGTGCTGGCGGCCTGGGGCCACAGAAAGACGCTGCTGCAGCTCCCAGAGGGCCGAGCACTCCATCCCATCTTGCCTCTCCCAGTAGCTCTGGAGACCCCCACCTTCTCCTTCATTACCAGCAGAGGACAGCAGCTGAGCAGAGATGTTTAACTAACAAATTCTGGGGTCCCCAAAAGCGAGCGCACACCCTGCACCCTGTGCGGCTCAGGAACTAGTTTCCAGCTGGCCTGGCCTTGGCCTCCTGGGGACCGGGCTGTCTTTACCCCCAGTTCTCTCTGCCACCTTTGACAACTGTTGGCAATTCCATCATTTTTTAAAAAGGGGGGCAGGCAGTGTAACACACCTCCCTGCAGTAAAATACAGATAAGCAAAAAAAGAGAAAAATTACAAGTAATCAACATTTTGATTTATATCCTTTTCTTCTGGAAATACATGTACCTTCTTTCATAGAAACATGACCATACCAATTTCTAACCTGCTTTTTTCACTTCATTATAGATCGTGCACATCTTTTCATGTCAGTACATGACAGGCTATTTCATATTTTAACCAATCCCCTAATCTGTTGTTAAATATTTAGCCAGCTTTCACTAAATAAACAACACTGTGATCATTTCTGTACAACACTCGTCTAATTCCTAAGTGAACAAATAGAGTCCTGAGCAAGGGCTAGGTTCTTTTTTAGGTTTTGGATACATTCTGTCAAATCATCTTCCAGAAAACACTCCCAAGGCAGGTGGGAACACCTGTTTCCAGAAGCCGTGGGCAACAGTGAAGCCGTATTTCTGGAACTCTTGCCCTCGTGCTTATCTGTCACCTCTACACTGATGACTTCTAAATCTAGTGCCAGTCTGTCCTCTCCCCCAGATTTAAACCCCATTTCTAACTGTCCACTAACATCTCTACCTGGACATCCCTCCAACCCTTCAAACTCAGCACATCCAAAGTTACACTCCTCCCCTGACCTCCCAGGTCGCCCTTCGAGTCCCAGTGCCGAGTCCTTCTGCTTCACCCCCACGTCTCGCCATCGCTTCCCTCTTGGCCATCTTCATTTCCACCACCCAGCAGGGCCTGGAGCTTCTGCCCCCGTCTCCCTACCCTCCTCAATCTGCCTGACCGACAGGGACAAAGCCAGATCCCAGTCATGTTGCCCCACTAGGCACAAAGAGCCACCAGCGTATGGTGGTCAAATGCCAACTCCATAACTGACCCTAACCCAGAGCCCACCGGCAGCCCCCACTGTTCCCCTACCGCGTCCACTCGGAAGAGATGCTCCCAGTTCCCCAGCTCTGGCAGCACGGCCTGTTGTTATCCCCTCCACCTCACACCCCCGCTCCTCCTCTTCCGCCTCTGTCGATTTGCTCCACGACCTGAAATGGGCCTTTTGTTCACCACTCTGTCCCCCTCCTCTCTGTTCCCAAGGCTGGCCAGGCGCTTACTTACCCTCGGTGTCCTGCCTCGCGTTAAGCCCTGTGAGCCTCTCTGCTGCAGGGCCCTGTGAGCTCCCAGAAGGCGGGGAACGCATCTACCTCCCCCTCGGGGATCTCATCCCTGGGCCGACTCTTACAGGAAAAGTGTACTGAACTGAGAAATCCTGTCCTCCTCTGCTTTATTAGATTCCTCCCCGAGAGCCTGGGGCGCAGTCAGAATCCGATTAGCTCTGAATTAGGAAGACTGGAAGGAACGTGCTCTGCCCCGGCAGACCTGCCACAGCGTCCCCACCGAGTAGCCACTGAGTACAGAGGGGGAGCTCAGGGCTGCAAAGACTGCCACTCCTGGGTCCCGAGCCGCTCTGTGGTGACGCAAGCCAGAGCCAGATTCCCCCCCACCCCCAGCCAACCTCCTCGTGAGTCGGGCAGAAATCAGACTTCTCTTCACAGCCATGATAATGTGATATTAATAAGAAATATATGGGACTGAGCCTGTAAAACCCTAGCAATTTTCCAGGTGACAAAGCAACCGTTTCTTTTGTTATGTTAATATTACATCTTGTTACTGAAGCCGCTCGGAAACCTGAGGGTGGGGCTGGTTACCAGGGGAACCAACCACGTGACTGGAGGGTTGGAACGTTCAGTCCCTCCCTTGACCTCCAGGGAGGGAGAAGGGCGGGAGACTAAGTGCAGCCACCAGTGGCCAATGATTTAATCAATCGGGCCTGTGTAATGAGCCCTCCATAAACCCCCTAAAGGACGGGCTTTGGAGAGCTCCCAGGTTGGTGAACACATCCACATGCCGGGAGGGTGGTGCACCCCACTTCCCCAGGGACAGAGGCTCCTGTGCTCCGGACCCTTCCAGACCTTGCCCTACATACTTCTTCATCTGGCTGTCCCTGAGTTACATCCTTTTATAACAAACCAGCAATCTAGCAAGTTTCTCTGGGTTCTGTGAGCTGCTCTAGCAAATTAATTGAACCTGAGGAAAAGGTCGTGGGAAGCTCTGATCTATAGACTGTTGTTCAGCAGCACAGGTGACAACCTGGACTTGCAATTAGCATCTGAAGTGGGTGGGGGCAGTGTTGTGGGACTGAGCCCTGTGGGATCTGACGCCGTCTCCAGGTAGGTAGTGTCAATGTTGAGTTAAATTGTAGGACACCCAGGAGCATCTGCTGAGAAATGGAGACTCGCTTGGTGGTGTTGAAAAGAAAACACGTGGGAACAGCACAGTGACTAAATACATGGCTTTAATGTCCTCACTGAAAACTCACAGCCTGAATTCCCTTCAGAGTGCAAACCCTAGTGCTGTTTGCACCCCAGGGTGGTGGACTGGAGTTGCGAGCCTCAGGGGTAGGGAGCCCCGCTCTGTACTCAGTTCAATCTTCGCAGTAGCCTATGGTGATAACAGGAGTATTACCCCACTTTGACAGATGAGGAAATTGGGACTCAAAGAGGATAAATGACTTGCCCCAAATCAGCCTCAGCAAAGAAGTGCTCAACTCAGTTGTTTATCAAGCGCCTACGATATGGGGGTGACACTGCTGGATAGAGATGAGCCAGGGCCCCGCCTTCCAGGACCCTGCAGACAAGGTGCAGAGCAGATGCAGATTCTAGAGTAAAGGGCCGTAACAACTCAGGCACTTACCACAGTCCACGCTGGCTTCACCACACTGGGGTGGCCACTCCTTTGGATTTCCTACAGGGGTTGCCTGCTTGGGGTGTGGCTCTGCACTTTCTCAGGCTAGTAACTAGGGAAGAAAGGAAAACTTCCTGAATACTGAAGCCAGTATTCAGAGGATCTGAATCTGCTTGGAGGCAGGGTTCCAGGAAGGCCTCTCCCCTCAGACGCCAGTCCTCCTGGGCCCTCCTCACCCCTTGGGGAACCATGCTTCTAAGGCAGTTTACACCCACCATAGCATCAAGCATTGGTGTCCCCCGTGGGCTCTCCTGGGAGAAAAGGCTGCAGGATGGAAACAGGTGGGTTAGAGGGGAGAGGGGATGGGGACAAACCAGCTGCAAGATCTTCATGCCAACTGCTCCAAAGGCATCTCTCCTGGTCCCTGTGCCCTGGTAACTAGGCATCCCAGAGGAAGCCAGAGATAAAGAATGACCTTTGGACTCATGGAGGCCTCAGCAGTCTCCCCTGTGGCCCCTTCCAATTTGAAGGTGATTCTAAATCCAGGTATGAGGGATGACAGGAAAACGCACACAGAAAGACCAGTCCTCCTCGGGCAGGCCTGTAGCTTCCCCATAGGTGACATCACAGCCAATAAGATCTAAGTGAAAAATCCAGATTTGCAGAAAAGACAAAGCATCAAGTGGTTCTGTGCTTCACAGAAGAGGAAAGACCCCTTCAGCAAGCCATTGCCCTATTGCTTATTCGGTTCAACATAATTGACGACGTACCTTTGTACACAGAGGGCCTGCTTCCGATGATGGGGGGATACAAAGAAGACATTTCAAGGACTCTGGTTGGAATCTGACTCACCCACAAACACATTTGCAAACCTTGAAATCAGTTGAGATTCACTCCCTAGTAAGCAAATATCTTTTTTTTTTTTTTTTTTTGTGCGGTACGCGGGCTTCTCACTGTTGTGGCCTCTCCCGTTGCAGAGCACAGGCTCCGGACGCGCAGGCTCAGCGGCCATGGCTCAGAGGCTCAGCCGCTCCGCGGCATGTGGGATCTTCCCGGACCGGGACACGAACCCATGTCCCCTGCATCAGCAGGCGGACTCTCAACCACTGCGCCACCAGGGAAGACCAGCAAATATCTTTTATTCTGCTCCCTCATTTCCCAGTCTAGACAGTGGGAACATTCTCTTGCCCTTCCTCCCTCCCTCCCTCCCTCCCTCCCTTCCTTCCTCCTTTCCTTCCTCCTTGCCTCCTTTCCTCCTTTCCTTCCTTCCTGTGGAGCACCAGAACACTGGCTGCTTTGGGATCTCCTGTGTTCCCAGTGCAGCAGTACAGGCAGCAATGTCAACAGTCTGGAAGCAGCCCATCTACACCCCCAAAGGCTTCCTCAGCCCAGTAGACCAGAGTCTCAGAACCAGGCCAAGCTCTTGTGGATCCTTACCCAGCCACCCTCCTTCCTGTCAGAGCCAGGATGGGGATGTCAGATCTCTGGCAGCTTTTGGAACCTTGGGCTGTGACAGTCACCCCTCCCCTCCCACACACACCTGCAGCCAGACTCCACTTAATGTGATCAACCAGGGCCAGGAGCTGCCGCAGGGCTTGAACGTGCTAACAAGCATCCCTCTCCCTCCCTGAGCCCAGGGGGTTTCATTGAAAGGCCACCAGGCCTAATCTCATTATGGGGACCAGACACCGCACAAGTGCCACAGCCTGGAAGCAGGGAGCCTGGCCTGACCACAGCCTCCTTATCCGAAGCAGGGTTTTAATTGGGTTAGAAAAGATTGTGTTGGGGGCTAGATCTTTTCTTGATGGGTCAAGGGGAGGAACGACTCAATTGTCCTAGAATGTCCTCGAATGTGATCAAAGAAAAGGCAAAATGAGGGCTGAGCTGTTAGGTGGGGCACTTTCTTACTACCCACACCCAAGTAACCCCTGGGTAGAAAGCGTGAAGTCAGACACTGAGCCCAGTTCTCCACTGGGCCCAGGGACTCAGTGTTGGGGCTCCCAGTACTTGTAGGGACTCACAAAAAATGTTTTGATTTCTGTTAAAATCATAAGAAAAAACAAACTTCTAGGGTTGAAGAAAATTTTTTAATCCAGCCTGGATTATATTCATCTTTATACCAATATGGTTGTAAAATATAATTCTCTTTTTTTTTTTTTTTGCGGTACGCGGGCCTCTCACTGTTGTGGCCTCTCCCGCTGCGAAGCACAGGCTCTGGCTCCGGACGCGCAGGCTCCGGCTCCGGACGCGCAGGCTCGGCGGCCATGGCTCACGGGCCCAGCCTCTCCGCGACATGTGGGATCTTCCCGGACCGGGGCATGAACCCGTGTCCCCTGCATCGGTAGGTGGACTCTCAACCACTGCACCACCAGGGAAGCCCTCTCTTTATTTTTTTATGGAGGAAGGGGAAAGTCACAATGCAGCCCTGGTCAGACGGATATGATTTCAAAGCCAGCCCCACTGTTCATGACTGTGTGCGCCTGGGGTGGAGGGCAAGCACCCTCTCTGAGCCTGCTTCCTCTTCCATAAGGTAGGGGGATGTTGAGATCCACCTTACTGGCCTGTAGCAAAGATTAAACAGGATAAATATGTACCAGTGCCTAGCACACTGCCTGCCACATAGTAGGTATTCAGTTAAATAGCAATCTAACAAAAACTAAACCTGTTCCTAATAGCACCTTAGGAAGAGTCATGCATCCGAAGCTGCTGACACATGAGGTTTGGGGCCACAGAGAGCCAGATGGCAGCAGACAGCACAACCCCCTCTAATAAATACATACCCCACCTTCTGTCTACCGTGAATCCCCGCACTGGGCAGAAACCCCTGGATCTGGGGTGAATTCCTCCACCAAATTCTTCCAGTGCTGCTGAACCCCTTTGTATTAGAAGCCACCCAAGCTCTGCCTGCCAAGGGAAGGTGGCGCAGGCAGGGAAGAAGTGGGATAAGCAGGGCATCCACTCAGGTACAGGAGGCTCCTCCTGCCCTGGGGGCGGGGTTGTAGTAGCCCTTCCCTGTATGGGGCTCCCCTTGGCATTTACAAGTTGCCTATATTTTCTGCCTCAATCCAGTTTCACAGGAGAAATCAAGATATGTATGAGAAGGTAGGACAGCTCTGTGGGGGGGGGTGTTGTTGTTTGTTTTGTTTTCCATTTGCTATGAAAAGGAAGGAACTGGGCTTCCCTGGTGGAGCAGTGGTTAAGAATCCGCCTGCCAATGCAGGGCACACAGGTTCGAGCCCTGGTCCTGGAAGATCCGACATGCTGTGGAGCAAGTAAGCCTGTGAGCCACAGCTACTTTAGCCCACGTGCCCAGAGCCCGTGCTCCACCACAAGAGAAGCCACTGCAATGAGAAGCCTGCGCACCACCATGAAGAGTAGCCCCCGCTCGCTGCAACTAGAGAAAGACTGCGCGCAGCAACGAAGACCCAACGCAGCCAAAAATAAAATAAATGAATCTATATTAAAAAAAGGAAGAAAACGAAGGAACAGAATCCAGATAAGATAGAGCTTCATTTAATAAGTCTTAGGAAATCCTCAAAGCCAAGGTAGTGAGAGTGGAGAGGGGCAGCCAGAAGGGAGAAAGACTTGGGAGGGGTGCCAGCTTCTAAAGACATGTCTGGGACTCCAGGGTCCACCTGGATCCTCCCCTCTGTGGTGCCCTGGGGGGGAAGGGCAGACAGAGAGGGGAGGTACCCCCCCACCATTCCCAGGTGTCAAAGGCAGCAGCAGATCCCTTCCTCAGCTCAGTTCTGCATCCCCTGTACCCAGTTCAGGGGCTACCAAGGCCAACCCAAGGAGTAAGGATTTCCCAAACAGGAAACTCCTTGCACCCAAGAGGCTGGAGATGTTGGGAGAAGAACAAGGAAGGGCTCTACTACCTAGACATCTCACCCCAAGAGGAAAGAGGCAGAGGGAGGGAGGCCCCTCCACTAGCGAAGCAGTTTGGCAGCTCGGTCTCAGGTTTCAAAAGAACAGTCGTGGCAATTGTTGGTTGATCCACCTCTATGCCACCTAGTTTCTAGAGTAGGGCAAAACATTACGCCGTACATAAACTTGGGATCACCTGCCGCTCCGTGCTAACTTCCGCGGAGACTGGGCACAGAGGCAGACCCGGGGCCGACGGCTGACAGCTCCAGGCAGGAGTGGGATGAGCTCCTAAACTCGGGCCTTGCTCGGTGGCCCCGAGCCGGGGGAAGCAGGTGAGGTGAGTCAGGTGTGGCGGCAGGAGAGGGAAAAAGAAAGACTGGCTGCGGCGCCGGGATCCCGGCCTGTCCCGGCGCGGGCGCGGTCCCGCCCCAGGCCGGGCACACCTGAGCTCGCCGTCCCCCCGCACACACCCGGGGCCCCTCCCGACTCCGCGCCAGGCCTCGACTCTCCCCTACCCGCCCCGGCCACCTACCTGGCTGGACATCGAGCACGGACGTTGTCCACGCTGCGCAGCGTCGCGCTGCCGACTGGCCCGCGAGCTGCCCGCGCCACGCCCGGGCTGTTCTGCCGGTTCGGCCAGCCGCGCGGACTTCGGAGTTACCGCGTCTCCATGGCGACCGGGTGGCTGCAGCGGGTTGGCAGCCCGGCGGACTACGCGACGGGCGTGGGGGGGCGCGGGGACCGGAAGTGCCCCCGGCGGGTCCGCGCACCTGGGACCGGGCCCGGCCCCCCAAGGTCCCGGGTCTAGGGACGGGGTCCCGCCAGACTCCGGGCCCGAGTCTTGACGCCCGCGTGCTCGGGCGTGCGGCGCGAGAACGGCGGCCTCCGGACCCGAGCTCGGGTAACCTTCGAATCCGGGCCTCACGACCTGGCTTCCCGGGTCCGCCACGTTTGGGGGCGTATGGGGTTCTGCGACCCACCCGTGGTTGTAAGAGGCCTCCAAGTCCAGGCCTGACTCGGAGGCCGAGGGCGAGGCTGAGGCGGGATGGGCTGCCGGGGCTGCTGGGGCCGGGCCCCGGGCAGAGGGAAGGGGGATGCCGGCCAGAAGAACGGGAGTACAGGCCCCCTGCTCTTCCCGCGCCCTGCCCCGGACTCAGGTGGCCACTAGGTGTCAGGAGTGGCCGGACCTTGGCCTACCTTGCCGCTCCTGCAGCCCTGAGGGACTCGCCCCTTCCTTGCAGCCGATGGTGGAGGTGTCGCTCTGCAGGGAGGCTGGGCTCACCCCTTCTCCAGGTCCGCAGCACCCCCTCACACACACACACACACACACACACACACACACACACGGCGCGCGCGCACTAGGTGATGTTTCTTGCCCCCTTTCCCCAAGCCAGGGACCTTTGCCAGGCTATAGCGCCCACCCCACACACACCCCCTCCAGCAGCCTAAAGATAAATACCAGTTCTCACCAGCCTTTCGTGAAGGCCTAGACCTTGCCATGGGCAGCCTCCCCGGCCCCAGACGCTAAGAGAGGAAGGAACCAAGGCCACGGCTGGGAGCCAGCCCCTAGTACAGTCCCGTCCAGGCCCCCTATCCAGGAAGTGCTGTGGGTAGATAACAAGTCCAGCTCAGATTTCCTACAAGCTCAGAACAAAAGGTTCTTTCCTGTCGGCAGGACTCACCGAGGGCCTGATGGTAGTAGGGAAATGGGGTTTCCTCCCCTGGAGACATAAAAGAGCCTCAGCAAAGGGACATCACCCCCACCCCCTGCCCCAGCACTGTGGGCTTCCCAAGGGCCCTGGCCAAGGTGGGCCTCGGGGATCCAATACCTCCTGACAGAGAGAACATACTCTCAAGCCAAGGCAAGACACCTAAGGGTGCCCACTGCTCTGGGCACACCTTCCGATGGGGCAAACCCAGCTGGGCCCCCGCCCTCAGAATGACCAAGGTTAAACCCGCCACAAACAGAAGTTTTGTTGGGGTAGCTTTCCAGCTGGAGGGAGTTAATGGACATTTTAAATTAAGAAACAGCTTCCTTCACAGGCCGGTAGGCAAACAGCAGGCAACAAGTGTCTTGTGAGTTGAGTCCTTGGAAAGGAGCCATTTCCTGTTCTTTGGCCTGCGTATTTGAGGAGGACTGGGGTGGGCAGGGCTGCACAAAGGAGCAGAGCCTCACTGGGGACCTGATTTGAGTTTCCTGGTGTAGGGCTTTCAACCCGTTCCAAAGCCAGGAGAGAGACTCCTGCTGAGGTGAGATGGAGCCTTTTGCGTCCTCCCCACCCCGTGGCCCTGTGGCCCTGGGCTGCAGCATTTTCCCCTAGAAAGGAGAGCACACCTGGCTCCTAGCAGTGCTCTCAGGAGGGCATGGAGGTGGCTCTCCACAGGGACCAGTCACATGGGGTCTTAGCTCTAAGCACTCATGGCTCCACGCCATTTTTAAGAGCTGGAGATCCCACCAAACTGCAGTCAAGAACCAGGCCCCGTGGCTTTGCCGCTGCTGCCAGAACCCCTAACCCCAGACGGCAGACACTCACTCCCTTCCTCCCCCATCTTTGCCGCTGAGACTCAGCCTTGGAGGCCAGAGAAGCATCCACCCTACAGCTGGGGGCGGTGACCAGCAAGGAGTGCAGCCTTAACTCCCCTTCTTGGAGACCACGGATGTGGCCCAAGGTCTTCCATGTAAACCCCTCCCTTCCTGCACTCAATCCACTCCACTCCACTAGCCTTTACGTTCCTCAGACTCACCAAGTTCACACCCACTCTCCTTTGGAACGTTCTTCCCCAGTCACCACTTGGCTCATTCCTTCAAATCTCAGCTCAAACATCCCCTCCTCAGAGAGGCTTTCCCTAACCGTCCAGTCCAGTAGCCTGGTTCAGGGGTTGAGATGTAGGGAGATACAGTGGATTAAGTGTGCGAGTGACAGCCCTGGGAAACCACGTCTTGAGCTCACCTTGTTCTTTGCCCAAAAGCATTTAAAGAGCAGGAAGGACCCAGACAGTGAACAGAATGTACCTTGTAGAAGGACCTCAGACCCCCTAGCACCTGGCGCATCATGTCTGCCTTGCTAGGGTTCCCAGACTTAAAAAGAAGGAAAATACCCCAGGATGCCCCATTCCATTTGAATTTAATATTTTTTTGGCATAAGTATGTCCCACGTATGACATGCAATATACTAAAAATGTATTTGCTGTTTATCCAAAATTCAAATCTAACGGGCGCCCTGTATTTTGTCTGGCAATCCTACCCTTGCTCCTGTGTGGGAAGGACAGAGGGCCTCCCAGCAGTTCCGGCCCCTCCCAGCAAAGCGTCCCTACCCCAGCAGGCGGAAACACCCAGTTAACTCCTGTTCAGCACACACTTCAGCCAGAGGCTTTAATCTTGGGCTGCAGTGAATACCAAAGGCATTGGAGGTGGGGCTCCCCAGTCCTAACACACTGTAAGATGCAAACACACACAGTTCGTTCACTCTTTACAACAGTTTTTATCTAGTCCCTTCAGTGTGCCAGGCGCTGGGTGACACTGGGCATAACAGTGAACAGGACAGGCACAGCCCTGTTCTCTTCAGGCCCTAACAGCGCATAGAAAGGGCGCTTAACCCAGGTGTGAGGGTCAGGGAAGGCTTCTGGGGCATGGCATAGAATCGTAGAGCTGCAGGGCGAGCAGGGGTAACCTGGCGAAGGGACAGCAGGGAGAGAGCAGGAGTGTTGGCTGGAAGGCAGGTGAGGAGGCCCAACCAGTACTGCCGGACTAGGAATCAGGAATTCATATGCCTGAACCAAACCCTGTGCCAGCTCTGGGAGGTGGGCGTGGCACTCGGGTGGCAAATAGTCGAAGGACACATCCGCTGACCTCTATTCTGAGGGTGAGAGCATCCTTCAGCGGGGGTGGCATCGTCAGGTCCGCTTCCTGGGGGACTTGCCCCAACTTGCTGGAAAAGAAAACTGGTTTGAATCTGAAAGTACATGGCTACTTTGATGAGTTTAAAATGGAACAATAATCACTCAGGGGGAAAATCCTATCTTCCAGCCTCAGGGGCAGCAAAGGAGGCCAGAAAATCAGCAGCCCGAGCAGAAGCAGCAGCGATGGTGGCGGGAGCGGCAGCACGCGGGGGACTAACCACAAAGCTTCCAGTGAAGACGGTGAGTCACCTGCGACCTCCAGCATGCGCGGGGATGGGGCTGAGGAGTGTCACAGGCTGTGGGTTCCCGGCTGACCCACAAAGTTGGTCCAAGTCTGGGAAAACAAGACTTAGATAAACAAGAGTCCACAAGCCAAGAGAACACTGCAGGTTGGATGGAGAAGCGATGAGAACGAAACAGTCAGGCCAGCTTTCACTGCTGCTGGCCCTGAGCAAACAGACGTGGGAGGCATAAGCGGCAGGGGTGGTGCAGGGGACTGGCCCAGTGCAGGAGGTGGCAAAACAGCACTGGGCACCTGAAGTGGGTGGCAGTGGAAGGGGTGGGCTTTCCCAGCTCTCAGTGAGCTCTGTGCAGCCCCCTGGGAGAGGGAGGGATCAGGAGGAAGCCCATTTTTCCTCCCTTCCTCCCTCCCTCCCTCCCTCCCTTCCTCCCTCCCTCCCTTCCTCACACACAAGGGTGTGAGGCCGGGGGTGAGGACTGGCTAAAGCTTGGGGTGGTGTCAGCAGAGACATGAAGCGGGAGGGCGTGAGCTGCTGCTGACAGCCATCTAATCGCCTCCACTAACCAGCCATAAACCGCGCAGGGCCAGGACTCCTGCACTTTGTTCAGAGCCTGTGACAGCTGAGGGCTCATCTTGGCTCCTAAAGCTACTCCAGCTCCGGCTCCACCCCCCGTTTCTCAGCCACGCGCCTCATGCCAGGGGTGTGCTGAGGATGCGGAGGCCACCCTGAGCCGAAGGTGTGGGGTGACAAAGCTGCGGCCCCGAGGACGCCCCTGGCGGGAGATGGGCAACGGCTCAGGCAGTGCTTCCCGGCTGTAGCTTTGTGATGACCCTCTTCCAGAGCAGGATGCAGCTGAGCCCAGAGGAGCAGAACGAAGGGGAGGACAGGCCAGGCACTGTCCCTGGTGAGGGCAGTAAGGCTGGTGACTCTTCCAGGGTCATAGCCAGTCAGCAGCCTGCCTGTCCTGAGTCAGAGGTCTCACTTTGCCCCGCTCTGCTCTGCCCCTCCCCTCGTCCTTTATACTTCTCTTGACCTTGGCCACCACCTCCTGCCTGAGTGCTCCTATCAGGCCGTCTGGTCCTTGATTTGAGAGCAGATGGTTAGAAGGTACGCTGACCTTAGCTCAGAACTCCCCTCACGCAAGAAGCCACACTCCTCTGATCCCTCCCAGCCAGTGGGAGACCCTAAGAGGTGGGCTGGTGCCAGGGAGAACCACGCCCCTCAGCTGGTGCCCTAGTCTCTTGCCTCATGGCCTCCTGTGGGGCAGTCATGCCTCCTGCTCTTGAAGGGATCCAAGGGGTCAGAGCTAGGCCTTCCTGCTCCTGCAGCAATGGATAGCTCAGGTCTTCTGGGTAGGCTTCTGGGGAGCTCACCCCAAAGCTCCAGGGCCCATAAATGATGACCCTAAGTGCCATCTCTCAGGTTCCACGGACTAAGGCTGTTGGAAGGCAAGGATACTGCTTGGAGTCATCACCCATCCCAACATCCCATTGTCTGTGGTACCTTCACAGCTTGGAAGGCAGTGTCAAGTCCAACCGGGTGTAACTTTGAGTGCTGTCATCCATCTGGAGGAGTTTTTCCCCCCTTCCACAGGCCCCTCCTCATCAGATAAACCCAGGCACCTCCAAGAGCTTATTCTGGCCCAGGGCTCAGTCCTGGCTTCAGCTGGCCACAGAGTCAAGACCAATGGTGCCATTGCCAGTGAGCCCAGCTTCTAAGCTCTTTAGCGACCCCGTGCTCTGTTTCCCGCCCCCCATGGCCTCGCTGCAGCGCTCAGGTGGCCAGGTTAGCAGCCGTCATGTGCAGTGAACAGCACCAGCTACCCCGCAAGATGACTGAGTCCGACTGGGCCCTCTGCGGAGCCCGGCCCCATCCATGTTCCTCCGCGGAGAGGTTTCTCCCCAGCAGCCCCAGCACCTCCCTGGCCAGCTGGCCGTCAGAGAAGGTCTGCTAAGGCAAAAGGGCCTCAGCTCAGGTTCTTTCTTCCTCTTATGCACATTGGTCAACCCACCCACCCCCCTCTCAAGGGGCGTGACCTGAGGTGGCCTCTGCCCAGCCACAGAAGGCAACTGCCTCCATCTCCTCAACAGACTTTCTTCTTCTTCTTTTTTTTTTTTTTTATAAATTTATCTTATTTTATTTATTTATTTTTGGCTGCGTTGGGGCTTCGTTGCTGCACGCGGGCTTTCTCTAGTTGCGGCGAGCGGGGGCTACTCTTCGTTGAGGTGCGCGGGCTTCTCGTCGCGGTGGCTTCTCTTGTTGCGGAGCACGGGCTCTAGGCACACGGGCTTCAGTAGTTGTGGCACGTTGGCTCAGTAGTTGTAGCGCACGGGCTTAGTTGCTCTGTGGCATGTGGGATCTTCCCAGCCCAGGGCTTGAGTCCGTGTCCCCTGCATTGGCAGGCGGATTCTTAACCACTGCGCCACCAGGTAAGTCCCCAGACTTTCTTCTTGATGTCTGCATAAAAGACCCTCTCAGGACTTCCCTGGCGGCCCAGTGGTTAAGACTCCGTGCTTCCATTGCAGGGGGCGCAGTTTCGATCCCTGGATGGGGAATTAAGATCCTGCATGCCGCGCGGCACAGCCAAAAAAAAAAATGACCTTCTCAAGTGGTACCTGCTAAAGCAAAGCAAACTACGCCAAGTTAACTAAAAGACAAAATGTCATTTTCTCCCTTAGGGACCCCTCCTCTGACCCATCCTTGATGCCTTCCAGGGAGTTTGATTATTGAAGGGTCCCAGGGAAGGGATGTGGAGATCAGGATGCTGCTGGAGATGGCAGGGGGGCTGCAGGCCTTTCAGGGGCCCTGGGCATTCAGAGGGCCTTGCTGGGCCCTGGACATGTAGGGGGGGGGCAGACCCCAAAGGTGCATTTGCCTCCTATGATGGAGACCGTATTAGAGGGCAGCAGGAGGATGCCTCTCCCCAGCCCAGCAGGAGGCTGTCCAGACCCCCGGCTCCAGGCTTCTGCTGCCCACCGTTCCAATGACAGCTGTCCTTCCTGACCCCCTTCTCTCTGGGTCCCCCACGTTGCCCTCTCTGCTGCCACAACAGGCCCTGTTTCGTTTCCCCTGACTGTCTCTCTCTTTCTCAGCTTCTCTCTTGGTCTCTCCCCCTTCCCTCCACCTCTGTTTTCCTGGCTGACCTGACGTTTCCTGGGCTTCCAGGAGGGAGATGATGATCTCCAGCATTTCAGGGCAAGAGTGGTTTCACTTGGTTTCCTGACCCCCTGGGAACAATGAGTGAGATACACACAGGTGCCAGGTAGCACTTTAGGGCCTGTTAAGATTCCGAGCTCTGACCTGGGCCCCACTGGGGTTGGGGAAGAGTCGCTGGCACCCAACCGGGCCTTCAGAGCAGGAGAGAGTTGGCCGTGCCCCGGCCTGACAGCTGAGGCCAGCGGAAGCCTGGACACCTCCACCCACTGCCCCTCACCACCACACACTCAACCTGCTGCAAAGAAGGCTGGAATTCATTCATTCTAGTCAGGCTCTCAGCAAACCTCCAAGTATATGGGTGGCTGGGCCTGCACCAGGCTCTGGAAATGTGAATATGATGGTGCTGCAGACATGCTTTTTGAGAAGGAAGGTCAGGCCTGAGGCACGGTGGGTGATGACCAACACTGGGTCAGGGGGTGAGCATTGCAGACGGAAGGAATGAATGGCAGGAAAGACTCAGGAACCTAAGAGATCAGGGTCTGCTTGGCATGCCAGTGGGGCAAGCTTCCATCAACCCCTGAATTGTCAGAATAAAAAAGGAATCTGACTAGAGTTGCAGACATTTTTTAGTTTGCCAAGTAAGGACATTAAGGGAAAAAAATCCATCATTTTTCTCTCAGCACCATTTTATGAAAGAAGCATTTTCACTATAAAAAAATAGAATACTTAGAATAAAAGATATTGTGACCAAGAAAGGACAGCTAGCAATTTGGCTGATGTATGCCGATCGATTTTATATATCTCACTGTTCTTGTTTGTCTTGCTTTATTGCTGACTATCGAACACTTTATCAAAGGCCAGACCAGCCAGTGGACTGGCCTCTGGGAAGTGCTGACAGAGGGGCCTGTAGAGGCAGGGCAGGAGCTGGGGACCTGGAGGAGGCAGGGGCCACACCAGGAAGGACTTTGGACTATGCACTCGGGAGTTTGGATTTTATCCCCCAGCTGATGTGGAGCCAGGAGGGGCTCTCGGGGAACAGATGCTGTGGTCAGATCCGTGCTTTGGGACAAGCATTCATTCTCACAGCTGTAAGGATGGACCAGAGGGAGAGAGACGGGGGAGCCCGGCGGAGGGAGCTGGCAGAAATGATGAGGGTCTGTCCCAAGGCGGGGACAGTGGTGGGACTGGAGAAGGGGGAGGAGCTAGGAAGAGGAAGGTGTCATCCCGCTCTCACATTCACGTTCTCACAGGGACCGTGAACAGAGATAACCTCACTAGGGGCAGAACCTGAGGAAGTGGGCTTAGGATTTGGAATTAAAGATAAGAACATCCTGACTGTAAAGAATATGAAACATGACATGTCAGTGAGAGTAGACCAAGGCAGTGAGCATTCTGGAAGGCGGGGGAGGAGTGAGCAGTGGGGCAGCTCACAGTGGGGGCACTTGTCTGACTTTGCACTTGGGCTCCACCTCTTGTGCAACCTTAGTCAACTTACTAACCTCTCTGTGGCTTAGTTTCCTCATCCGTAAAATGGGAACCGAATAGTACCTAACTCATAGGGTTGCTGGGAGGTTTACATTAATTAAGATATGTAAAGCGCTTAGATGCCCAGCTCCATAGAAATGGCCTGATATTATTATACATTGTCACATCCCCAGCACTCACACAGCCCCCAGAGAATAGGAGGGATTGTTAATGTTGGTGAAAATACTAGGCCTGGCTTCGTGGAAGGCCCTGGGCTCGGAGCCTGCCTTCCGAGGTGCTGGGCAGGGTTTTGAACCCTCCTGGGCTCTCTTGGGGCAGCTCTTACCTGCCACTGCCACACGCACCTAACACTGATTGAGATGGAAACTTGGTGAGCCTGTGACTGAGCCCAGGAGTGGGAAGGGACTCGACACCTCCTGGAAGGTTCTCTGGGGTGGATGCCTGGTCCAGTGGCAGGAGGCAGGCAGAGAAAAGGGGGCAGAGGGTCTGGGGGCTGCAGGAGGGAGAGCAGACTGGAGGATGCCCGGTGGTGGCAGCAGTGAGAAGAGCTGGCTGCTCAGTCACCCACCTCCTCCCAGCGAAGGACCAGTGCCCTCCAAAACCAAGTCCTCATCTCCTTGCCCCCCACCTCCCAAGCCTGCTTCAAGGATGTTTGCTGCCTGGGAACGTGCCTTTCAAGGCACCATCACCCCTCAGCTCCTCCCCGCCCTGCCCTCATCCATTCAGCCCCTGTCTCCCTCAGCAGACCCTGAATCTACCACCTCCCTCAGTCTCTGGGGGACCCTGAGCCCTATCTTCTCCTGCCACCTCTGGGCCTCCAGAGTTTGCTAATCACTTATCTTCACTGAACACCCTGAAATGCAGTTGTGGCGTTGGCACTGCCCTCTGTGAGCCCTTCCTTAGGAGGAAGTCTGACTGCCTACCTTGACTTGGCAGCCGCAGCCTACTCTCCAGACCCCCCTCACATCCGTGTGCTGACCTGGGGAAACTGCTTTCTCTTTCATCTGCTTCAAATGTGAGTCCTCCAACGACTGACCTGATCAAGTCCTACCCCTCCTTTCATGGCTCAGCCCAAGCAACACGCCCCAGAGGGGCACAGGGCCTGTCACCACTTTGGGAATTGCTGTTAAACATCCAGAGAGGGCTTCCCTGGTGGCGCAGTGGTTAAGAATCCGCCTGCCCGTGCAGGGGTCACGGATTCCAGCCCGTGTGCCACAACTACTGAGCCTGCTCTCTAGAGCCCACTAGCCACAACTACTGAGCCCACATGCCACAGCTACTGAAGCCCGCGCCCCTAGAGCCCATGCTGGCAACAAAGAGAAGCCACCGCAATGAGAAGCCTGTGCACCGCAATGAAGAGTAGCCCCTGCTCGCCACAACTAGAGAAAGCCCGCATGCAGCAACGAAGACCCAACGCAGCCAAAAAATAAATAAATTTATAAAAAAAAAAAAAATCCAGGGAGTCTCTGCGCTCCCAGTACAGGGGTGTGCGGGTTCCATCCCTGGTCGGAGAACTAAGACCCCACATGCCACGCCAGAGTCCCTAAAGAGAACATCCAGGGACTCTGAGTTGGTGAGACCATCTTCAGCACAAGCACAGTGCCTGCACCCCATGGTCTCAAGAGAAACGTGCAGAGGAACCAGTGAATGAAAGAAAAGGAGGGAGACATATTTTTTTTCTTTTACATCTTTATTGGAGTATAATTGCTTTACAATGGTGCGTTTGTTTCTGCTCTATAACGAAGTGAATCAGCTATACATATACATATGTTCCCATATCTGTTCCTTCTTGCGTCTCCCTCCCTCCCACCCTCCCTATCCCACCCCTCTAGGTGGTCACAAAGCACCGAGCTGATCTCCCTGTGCTATGCGGCTGCTTCCCACCAGCTATCTGTCTTACGTTTGGTAGTGTATATATGTCCATGCCACCCTCTCACCTCGTCACAGCCCACCCTTCCCCCTCCCCAGAGGGAGACATTTTTAATGAAGACCAGGCAAGATTCGGCAAGAGGAGACAGGACAGGTGTGAGTTAAAGATTACTCAGATGTTCCCGGCCTGGGAGACAGACCTGACCGTCACCACCCACAGCTGTGGCAGAGCTGGGCCTCAGCCTGGGCCTGGAGGGATGCGGTGCACCTCCCCTTCCCCTGCTTCCTGGGGTCAGGGGCCTGACATCCCAAAGGCAGAGCACGGCACAGACAGGGTCCACGGATGCTTAGTTGCCATAGGGCACTGTCCTGGGGATGCCAAAATTTAAAAAAAACAATATCTTGCTGACTAAATCTGT